AATTAAAAAAATAAAAATAATAATTAAAAAAATAATGCATGCATTTATGTAGTGCATGTAGTATTTATATAGCCCTCTCAATGCTCTTAAGAGTAATGATAAATGACATTTATATAGTGCTCAACCCTGCTTAAAGTACACAGGCTCTGAGCGCTTTACAATACAGTACAACGTACAACAGAAACATTAAACGTTGTGTTCTGACTAAAAGTAAGTCACTCCAAATATTCATCTTTTCCACTATTGTTGCCTTACCAGAACCCAGGACATTCAGAGATATTCTCGGCTTCTTTGGAAGCGTACAGAGCAAGGTGTCCTTTTACAGGAGCTTAAACACATACTGACACGATCTTTCGTTGTTGATGGCCCGGTACCGAATAGAACACATGGAGAATAATTATGTTATGCTCCCTGTCGGTGGATCTGCAGTACAGATGTGTGAGCATCTACTAATGATGCTATCGTGTTAGTCTCTGGCGTATTGTTATCCTAGAATTACAAAGTTCTATCTGACATTTTTTGCCGTTTTTAGTTACGAAAAAACTAGGTCAGAAACATGTTCTATCAGCTGCTCTATCAAAATGGTAAGATTATTTGGAATCGTTATCAAGGTATTCAAAGAACCGATTCGAAAAAGGCTTGACATTTTGTGAAAATCACTTTTTGGACGTGAAATGTCTCAAATCTAGGTACTGAGCAGAAACAACTTTGAAATTCTATGGTAGAGGTATTGTAGCAACGTCACAACAAGATAGGATTGCAGCTGGGGATAAGTTAGCTTCGAACTTGATCAATACGCCAAAGCTCGAAGATCAATAGAGCTGCCACACAAGTGTGGAACTTTCAGGGGAAACCTCCCCCCCCCACTTCCTGCTAACCCGGTCCTTTTTTGTCACAGGTGCTATTTCTATACCTTTGAAATGAACCGGTCTGTCATTAATTTGTAAGAATCCGCAGCTGACATCTTAATATAGTCGAAATTGTGTCAAGACACTCTTCCAGTGTCGAGGAGAAAAGTGGTTGTCTTCACTTGAAACAGTTTTATCTCCTCATCCAGACACCCTTTTGTTATTTCTTTCTTCAGTCTATCACCTTGACTTTCCCATCCGGTCTACACACGCTCCATGACCATAACTGACTCTGCAAAGGTTGCTTTAACGCATAACAATTTTGATGTAAACAGGACGAAGTGAGAAGGCCTGGGCCTATAATAATATTCATAAAGCAGGTTCCGAGACACTGTGTAAGGATATCGGCTTCCCTTAACAACGTTGAGAACGGATTTCCCCCTTAAAGTTTAAAGTAGTCGGAGGAGGAGGAGTACAATAGCAACAACAACAACAACAACAACAACAACAACAACAACAACAACAACAACAACATCAACAACAACAACAAACAACAACAACAGCAACAACGACAACAACGATAAAACTTTTCGACATTTATGTCATTGGTGTATTCTACACCAGACAATCTCCTAATTTCTAAATTATTATATCTCCAGGAGCTAGATGGGTGCCTCTGTGGTCGTGTGACTTCGACAACAAAGCGGACGCCAAACAGGCTCACGCCTTCCGTGGATCACGTGACACCACCACATGGGTTGATGTCGACCTGGAGCAGTGTTACACCGTTGACAAGGAGGTAACGAACCACAACTTTTCGTGGGTGGTTGGTGGGTAGTCAAGTGGCATGGTTTGCTCCTTCTTCTCTACCAAACGTACATGTTTATCGTGCTTATCTCTCCTCCTTTTCCTTTTGTATTATTCTCTAGCAACACCTCCAATCTTCGGCAATTATATGCCCTAATCGTGTTGCAATAAGTACCGCAAAGATCTTACTAAAACTATCTAAAACTAATAACGTTTCAAGTAACACAATCGTATTTATTTCTTCCTATATGCATTGGTAGAAGTAAAGTCGCCTCACCCCCCCCCCCCTCCGCTTTAAATCCCGCTTGACCTAGTGTGTAGATCCGGGATCGATGTGTGGGTCTCAGTAGGATAATATGAAGTTCTATATCTTTTCGAAATAGGAAACAGGTGGCCGTGACATGCTCAAATATTATAAAAGGGAAAAGGTTGGGGGGGGGGGGTATTTTACTCGGACCGTGCATTCGTTTCATTATCCTTTCCTTCACGGAACTTGTAGGAAACATAATTAGCCCTCGACCGTTGTACAGGTTCAATACTGGGTCACTGATGTTGAATGTGTCTCAAAACAGTTTGGATTACTAACATCAAAATTATGAGATGTAAACACGGTCGAGCCAACTCTAACGGCCACCTGTGTAATACAATCACTTGTACAAACGGCCACCTTCAACCCCCCCCTCCCCCTTCCGTTTTTTAAAAACATTATAATGACACTGTGTAAGACGTGCACACGTCCAAGATGGCTATTTTTTCCCCTTGACAAAAGATGACCGTGTTAAACAATGCCATCTGAACTACTCTGAGCAAATCAATCCCCTGCTTTGCATTTTTTATGTGTCTGGCATAGTAATTTTTCGTTGACATTAATTAGTTTTGACTTTTTTGCTTTCGGCACACTTAAGCTGTTATATATAAGGTAATGTTTTGGCTCTGCAGTAAGAACAAACCTCAGTTGCGTGGGATACATCCTGGCAGACAAATGGAGATACAAGTACTTGAAAATGATAGAGTATATTCACCGTTTTACTTTGTTTTAAGTTATATGGTGGTTTGGTTGAGGATCAGTGTTTTAAATATATTTCTACCCAGGATGTGCACCTACCTATTCCCGGTTTTGGTACAACAGAAAGAAGAAATAAGTTTTCTGCATAACCAAGTAACATTCGAAGGTCATGTATCAGCATTTTGAAAGCTAAAGACATCTTGAACGTTGAAATGAATGAAGAAATCTTGCCCTAGTCTCGTGGTGTGCACAGCTAGTACTGTATCTTTGTTGATGTTGTAATTAATGCTTCGTGCTGCCTTTGACACAGTTTAGCTTTTAAGATAGCGATCTGTATTAATCGCTCCTGCTTTTGGCAACCTGTGCTTTGTAGGATACATTCATCAGAAATACCGAGATAATCAACGAAATATCTTTTATATCTTGGAATTAAATTCTTGACTTTATATGCTCGACAAAAAATCTCTTCACCAAAATCAACTACATAGACTTTCGGATATTTCCCCCTTATGTTCCTATATTGGCCCTCGTGTGCTCGTAATTTCTTTCTTTCTGCTCCTTTCACATTCAGGTTGGAGTCTGTGACGTAATGTAAAGGGTAGGTTTTTGGACGTCAGACGCAAAAGACGTGAGTCCGATTCAGGAGTAGGGAAGATTTTAAAATGACTATCTCCGTCTGTCTGCTAGGACGTTGTAACCCTCTCATGGCCTGATGCTCAAGGTTGAAACAGCCCGCCTCATACATAATCTAAATTCCTTTTATCGGAGGATGAAACATTTAACAATTACAGTCATAATTCTTCATTCATCGACATACATCGTTTGACATACGTCACTTCAACCCCCCCCATAAAATGCACCCCTCTCTCCGCCAACTCAAAAAATGTCCTCCTCCCCTCTTTTACACCCTCCACGTCCCATCCCCCTATTCCAGGTGAGTGTGGAGGTGAACATTCCACCAAATTTCAGCAAGTTTCGAGCTGGCAGAGACAACAGCCTGAGCTTGAATAAGGTCAAGGGTCAAGTGTTCAAGGAAGTGCTTACCTGGGAGGTCAACTCACAGGCACGTAATATGGCATTGCATCACACAATTCTATTGGTCGATTTTTTTTCGTCTTCTATTTCTACATTATTACGATTACTCTTGTTTGCCAATTTCATTTCCCCTTGATCTGTCAATCTGCCTTATTTTCTGTCGGTCAGTATAACTCTCCATCCTGCCTTACTTTCTCTGTCCCTATCTATCTATCTATCTATCTATCTATCTATCTATCTATCTATCTATCTATCTATCTATCTATCTATCTATCTATCTATCTATCTATCTATCTATCTATCGATCTACCCTTCTGTCTGTCTGTCTGTCTGTCTGTCTGTCTGTCTGTCTGTCTGTCTGTCTGTCTGTCTGTCTGTCTGTCTGTCTATCTATCGGGTTGTCTCTGTCCTTCTCTCATTATCTTTACCCCTCTAAGGTCAAATTTCTCCTTCACTGAATATCATGTTCAACATTCAGTTTTTTGTTCTCCCTGTGTGGTCGCTCTCTCGGATACTTGTTTTCTCCGTATCTCTTGCCGTTATCCTGAACTAAAGTTCTGTTCCCATATCCACGTCACATATTAATCTTGATTATATTCATCATCACGGTCCTCTTTCCTTTCATATCCTCTTGAACTTTTAGAAATCCAAGTTCTCTGATCCAGTCTTTCACCCCAACGTTATCTTTCCCTGCAAATCTTACTCGTATATAAATTCTTTCTTCGTGTCTCTCTCTCTCTATCTCTCCCATCCAGGTGGAGGTATTGCCAGGATGGCGTGCGCATGCACAGCTCCTGGCCAGAGAGGAATGCAGCTCTATTGAATTTGAGATCCGAACCACCCTCTATAATCCAAAGGGTAAGCTATTTAGAACCACAGCACCCCGATTTTATGTTTTTGTTACCTGTCTCCTTCGCCAATTTTCTTTGTGACAGTAAAGACTCTGGGGTAGAAGACTGTGGTAGTTATTTCACCCACCCCTCCCCGCAAAACCAATCAACCAAACCAATCAATCAATCAATCAATCAATCAATCAATCAATCAATCAATCAATCAATCAGCCAATCAATCAATGAATATAAAAAGTAAGAAGAAGGACAGCAGAGACAACGTCGTCTTAATAATTTGTGAGGCAAGCTGCTTCGTCTTTGTCTTTCAAAGTCAGCCTAGGCTGTGCTGGATACATCGGTATTCGATACAGTATCTTTCTCAAATTGTAAATTGAACGCACGTCTTTTGCGTGTAATGCAAAGAACCAAAACTATAAGGTCTATAAGATTACAAAAAGCGAGGTGTTGTTCTGTTGGTTTAAAAAAGGACTCGTTCAGTCATCATCATCATCATTGCCTTTCTCACCCTGGATCAGGGTTTCGGCCTCGAATAAACACTTTCTACTTTTCCCAATCCTGGTCTAGCCTCTTGATGCTATTCGTTGAGTACCTGAAGGCAGAGATTGTGTACAAACATGTTTTCGAAATCTAGTGATTTAACTGTGTCATGTGCGCGCGCGAGCGCGCGCGCGCGCGCGCGCGTGTGTGTGTGTGTGTATGTGTGTGTGTGTGTGCGTGTGTGAGTGTGCGTGCAGGAGTATTGTTCGTACATGCATTTATGTAAATACATACATAAATGCATACATAAATACATAAATAACTGCATTCATAACTGCATACACAATATCACACCAATACAGAACAACTTCACAAACTTGCTATTGCTAGTCGGCAGTGTGCAGCGCCCTGTTTGCTGAGCAAGGGTTGTCGTGTCTTACCCAAGGTGACTACCCACCCAAATCCTGTGTCACCAACACTTGCTTTACATAACTTTTGAGTCTGAACTCACAACTCACTTGGCCACTGGAGCCCCCAATGTGAACTCACTATCCACTTACCCACTGGAGCCCCTATTGTGAACTTTCTATTCACTTAGCCACTGAAGACCCTTATGTGAACTCACTACTCACTTAGCTACTGGAGCTCCTAACGTGAACTCATTACTGGCTTAGCCACTGAAGACCCTTATGTGAATTGACTACTCACTTAGCTACTGGAGCTCTTAACGTGAACTCATTACTGGCTTAGCCACTGAAGACCCTTATGTGAATTGACTACTCACTTAGCCACTTGAGCCCCTAAAGGGAACTCACTACTCACTTAGTCACTGGAGATCCTAATATTGACGAGCGCCTGATTTCACCGTGTCGTGACGCATTATGACGTGTTCCTGTTGCAGGTATCGTGCCTGTGACGTTTGTTCGCAAGTCCGACAAACGGGTCGCCTACACGGTGGAGATAGACGACTTCAGGGAAGCCTTCAGACTGGTTGCCGACGGCGGAGTACTCACTCCTGAAGAAAAGGTACCTGCCAACCAACTTTTTCCTTGATCCTTTGTTATCTATGCCCCCCCCCCCCCCCCC